TATCGCAAAAATTGATAGTTCTTGTCTCAAGGGTATTGAACCTTACGTTAAAATCACCTGCAATGATTACATAACTATTTTTGTATCTTGCAGTTGTGAAAAGTAGCAGTTTCTCAACGCAATCTAGGAAAATTTCAAAATTTCCGTTAGGTGATCTATATATTGAAATCAACAATAGATTATCTGTAAGCAGCAATTTCACAGTTTATTTCTGAGGAGAGGTTACATATTTCTTGAACGTTGTTGCCTGAAATAGTGTCATGACATAATATCATGGTACCTCCGTGAATATTATGTTTTCTTGAGAAAAAAGATCTTACTGCGTAACCTTCTAATTTAAATGTGCCTATTTCATTTTCCGAGAGAAAATGTTCATTTATACAAATTGCCTTATAACTTTGATCTGCCAAAAACGCCGTGAAAGTATGCACTTTATTTCTTATTGAGCATAAGTTTGTGTGTAACACACTAAAGTTACTTTTTGTGGGTGTTAAGTTGGTGCTGGTTGGTTTGTCCTCTTGTGAAAAAACCGGCTTACTCGTACACCAATCGGCCACATACTTGGATCGAGAAGGAACGCGTAATTAGAATTAATGTTTGCTCTTGTATCAATTCAATCTCTTACGCTAAGGAATTGATTTCCAAATGGTACATAAGAGTAGATTGTGGTATGTATGTGCATGCATATTTTTAACATGCCATTTTCTTGTTATACACGGTGATTCAGTTGTAGGAACCACTAATTCTATCGGCTTGTATTATAGTTTTATACATATTGTTTTCTATTTTGCGTTCAGAATGCTTCTATTACGATACGCGAGTGATGACATTTGCGTATCGAAAAGTGACTCATTACGACATGCAAACGGGATTGTTATCGGATTGGTAACACTGTTGAGTGAAAATGGTAACACTGACAAAATTTCATAACTGCCATAACTGATTAGTACGTTCTTCGAAATGTTGAATGCATTGTTTTGTGTGCACCACTCTTGAAACTTTGAAAATTCCTTTTCATACACCTTTTTTAATTTGTTAGGTAATAATCTTCACTTATATTTTGGGCTATTTCGCGCAATTCTGGTGGGGTACAACCCGGGGTACAACTCAATTCTTGGGGTCATTATTTCCGAATTTCGCGTATTTGTGTAAAACTTCAAATGTTTGAATCAAGAGTATGAAATTACCAGTTCTACCAACCTAAAGGTCAAAATAACAAAATTGACAAATTTTGCAATCCGGTTCATACCCAAAACATTCAAAAGAATGTTATGGCATGAGCCAATCAATATGCCAACATCCTCATCGACTTCTCTGATTGTGATTCGATGATCATTCATTACCCTTTTGTCCACTTTTTCCACTTTATTATCGGTTGTTGATGTGCTGAGGCGTCCAGGGCGTTATTGCCATCTTCAACGGCTTCACGGCTACCTTGGAAACGTTTATACCACTCGTAAACCCTTGTTTTATTTATCTATAGAAAACTCACTATAGGCCTTTGTTAACATTTCACACACTTTATTACACTTTATATCATTTTGTACGCAAAATTTGATACAAATTCTTTGATCCATTTTTTTCCGAAACGAAAATCGCCGAGCTCATAAAAGCACGTGTAACAATAGCGGATGCCACAGTCACAATGAATATATCTGGAAATTTTATCATACTTCAGGGACGCGAAATTTAAAAATTCTCATTAGATTCTGAACACACCTCGTACTACACATACAAAAAGACAATAAAAGGTGAAAGACGTTGAGATATGTATGGAGAGTTAAAAAGCAATTTAAATTAGCCTTCCTTTCTATGGTTACGCTTGCCAAATTCTGTTCAAGTGTGGGTACTCGTTTTATTACGTAAATTTAATCATATACCATTTAGAATTGAGCATCCAATTTTGGTAAAAATGGAAAACATATCGTTTCTAATAAACGCAATAGAAATGTTTAGCAATGGACGAACATGCGTGTAGTCGGCGAGGATGTTGATCTCCTTGTTCTCTTGCCTTTAACACCAAAAAATATAAAAATAAAGTCAGACAAAGGCAAAACTAAAAAGAAAATTTTTGCAGAAGTGATACCAAATATTGTATGTTTCAGAAGCAAAAATTACCATTTTTCAAACACTTGTAAAACAAAATGCAATTGGCTATAGTGAGAACCTTCAATGACCAACATTTCAACCCTATGAGAAGTAAGAGAAGCTGGTGAACCCCTTTTCCTGATGGTATACGGTGCGAAGAAAATTTGAAATCTTCGGTTAATTCATATAGGTTTTACCAATTTAAAACGGGTCATTGTAGCCTATTACAACACTCTTTATGCGAGGGCCACAATCCGTACAAGTGTACTACAACTTATTTCGTGCAACTGTACGGTTGCATACATGGAGCACATTTGCAAACATCTTTATGACCCCGTCACCCACTGATCTCGAAAAAGGGTCGCGCGGGAAAGTAATAGTTTGTACACACCAATTTATTTCGATGAGACCTTTCATTAGAATACCTTGAAAGGTAGAACCGTGTGTTTACCTCCCCCCCCCTCCCATTTACAAAAGTTTTACTTGGCACCACTAAAGGCATGCGTATACAAAACCCCAAACCAATTGGTTTTCGTATGTATAAGTTATGCAAAAAAAAAAGTGAAAATCCAGTTCACCCTACGCTGTTTGAGCATGACCACTCCAGCACACCTCTTGTGGTTAGGGACTCTTCGGTTCCTTGAAATATACGTATTTTCAAACGTCTATACCAAGTTTCAACTACTTCGCAATTTTCTTGTCTATTTTGGACAATTTGCCTGTACTATTATGATTGCTACTCATTCGTCTGATGCAGATCGCACAATTAGAGTTATCATTAGTAGATTTTTTTAGTACTCCTACTGTCGGGTGATAAATGAAAATGTTATCGATTTATCGATAAGTCTGTGTAGTACGATAATTATCGATTAATCGTTAATCGATATCTATCGACAATTATCGATAAGGTTAGGTAATTATCTATAACTTACAATAATTATCCACAATTATCGATAACTGTTGATAATTATCATCGATAACTTTTGATAATTATCGATAACTTTTTATAATAATCAATAATGATCATTAGCTGTCGACATCGATTATTGACATCTGTTGAAAATTGTCGATTTCTGATAGTTATCGATTAATCGAATAGCGATAATTATCGACAGAAAACTATGGATACCTTCTCATAAATCTTATCGATATAAATATATTCTCAATCGGTATAACTATGTCATCCATGCGTACACTCGTTTGCACTTTTGCTTATTTGGTATTGATATTGCTAGAGATAATTTACATAAAAACAGGATCTTTTGAAGAATATTAAAACAACTATAACTATTCCGTACTTTTCTGAAATCAAAGGTGGTCAAGTAGACGATAATCCTCAAAAGTTTGGTGCGGCCTTCCATATCCTCAAAGTTATTAGTTTTTAATAGAAACGGTATTTATAAGCATAATAGTATCTATTTCATGTCAACCAGCCTGAAGTAGGTTGTCAATTATTGTGATCATATTTTAGAAGTATCATCCCAACTCTTCAATGCTCTATTTGATTGCTTTTGCGATAACTCGATGTAAAATTAATCGGTAGGTTATAGGTATCGGTAATTATCGATTTATCGACCACTCTAAAATCACAGTTAATCGATAAATTTTTCAATAATTTTCCATAAATGATCAATTAGTCGACTATTTTTTAAAATATATCAATAATTATCGATAAGTTATCGATTAATCGTTTTTTGCAAAGCACTACTTTTAAATGACTAATTATTATTATTAATGGATGATTATCAATTAATCGATCATCTTTTTCAATTATCAGTTGCCTATTAACCGATAATTATCGATAAGTTATCGATTACCCGTTTTTTTGCACAGCACTACTACTACTGTAACTCTGTTACAGCTGTTTCAGCACCCCATTCAATTATCTAATAAATTCTGACTGATTTCACATTTTAGTTTCTTCTCAGACAACAACCCTAACTGCCTCTAGAAACGGTTGCGGAAAAATTCAGGCTGTACGTGGAAAGTTCGCACTTTACCGTTTTAAGCAATCACTCATCGCCATTCTCATAGTTTTGTTTATCATTTTTACCTTCCAAATTTTAGTTCCTTTTTAGTGCTTTTCTTGTATGTTATGTTGTATATTGAACAGATTCAAAATCTGTTCTCTGACTGAAATCCCCGTATCAGACTGTATAAATTAACCATTTCCCATCTAAATCTGTATTTAAAAAAGCCTTTGTGCGGACTTTTCTTTAAATTCTAATTAAAAACATAACTGAAAACGTAATATTCACTAAGGAACTGAAAATACTGAACAGACGTTACCCTTATATTACAGAACCTGTGCAAATGAAAAAAAAACCTCTCAAGATAAATTAATAACCGTCACTGTTAACCACATTTGACGGACATGAGGAATTACTATTGATTTTGTTACAAAGAAAGACACAGACCACGGGCTTGTTAAGAAATAAAACCCCAGCCTTCCCTTGGTAGTATTGCGGATTCATCGGTACGATAGAAAGCATTTCAAAGAAATAATTGCGTGTAATTCCCAGGCACGAAGGAGTATATAAAACAGTGCTATCCTTTGTTATCGTACCTTAGGTATTATTTTTATATCTAATATGAAGTTATAAATAATTACACTCGTAATGGACGGCCGGCCTTTTAATCGGTTATAATGGACAGGAATGCTATAAAAGGGGAAATTTGTAAATTATTTCACGAATGAATGCACTGCATTTATATTAATTAGCATCCATCTCGGTATAAAGTAAATAAATGACAGTAAAAAAATAAATAAAACTTGAGCATTTTCATCTCTCTCCCTGATTTAGGTTGGAGTGGTTTTCCGTAGGTAATTTTACAAAGCCACTTTAATTAATGACCGTACATAACACACATTAGTAAAGTAAAATTAGAACGGAATATTGAATTCATGTTACCTGAAACTATCATATCTCCCCTTTCTGTGGTCCAATAATTAATTGATGTTGGAAACGCTTCAGTGTGACACTCAAGAGCCACATCTTGGCCGATATACGCTCCCTCCAGTTGATTGGGGATGGAGAGCATTGGGGGAACTAAAGATTTATGTTTGGCAATAAATTAAGCGACCGTCGAATTATTTGTATGTAAACTCACATTGCACCCTTAATTGAACACGTTTACTTATAGACGGTGGAATCCCATTGGAAGCTATACATAAATACACAGCCATGTGTAATCGACTCACTTTTGTAATAAAAAGTATTTCCCCGTCGACTACGTTTACTGGAAATAGAAGCGTAACTGAAATTTTATTCTAAAACAATGGAATCTCTTTACCGTTTTCGCCGTTGTATCGAATATCTTCACCGTCTTCGCGTCTCCACATCACGTACGGTTCCGGAAAACCTGTAGCTTTGCAGGTGAGACTTACGTTTGTGGATTCTAGAACTACCATGTCTGAACTAGTTTCGCGGTCAATTATACTAGGAGGAACTGAAACGAGAATGTAGAATGCGAGGGCTGGGGTGAGGAATCGCCTTACCGACAACTTGTAAGTATCCTTGGCGACTTCGCATAGGATCAGTGTTTACTTGGCACATGTACCAACCTCTGTCGGCTTGTTGAACATTTTTAATGTGTAAATACCAAGAGCGATGGTCGTTGTAGCTTAACGATATTCGGGGATTTTGAGTGATGACGTTGTGGTGTATGGATAGGATAGTTTGTGTATCAACACGAACCCACGCGACCTGCACACAAACAAGGAGAGAAATGTTAGGCTCTTCGCGTAGCAATAAATTTAATAAAAGTTTCAGTGTATCGAAGTATCGAAGCTGTATTGCACGACCTAACTGATGATGTAAAAGGTATAGAGTAGGTAAAATGAAAACATGCCCTCACGGTATCTATGAATCAGAGAAACTGTTCACGTCTCTAGTCTGTCGAGACCCAAAAAACTGCAGCAAATTCTACTCACGAACAATTCCTCACTCCTTTTGTAGAGAATCGCACTTCCATTTTCAAGTTTGTTTTCTTTCTACCTCTTTTATTGTTTATACATAGCATGCGAGTACGGTAATGTTATTATTTTTCAACCCATCCATGAAATCGATTCGGTGCCTGTACGCATAAATCTAACACAGCTACCCTGCATAGCATAGCAGCTAAAGAAACTCGATTGCTAGTCGCGGTCCCTTGTCGCTTGTGCAATCCAATAATCCCTTCTAAAGCAATCCATCACCCAACCCTACTTACCTTGAATCCCCGCAGGTTGTCGACCACGCAGGTCAGCAGTGCGTCGCGCCCCACAGTCACGGTTACGTTAGGGATGGGTTCTGCAAAGCGCGGGTATGACATTTCTGAAACAAGAATTTATATAAGTTAGTTTAACCTAAATCTATCATACGCACAACAAACAAAATCGAATTCTCTCTTCAATATTGCATTACTCCAGCCGTCACATTATTAGATAAAAGTAAATGAGCGACCAAGCGACAAGCTCAAATTTACCTCCCGAAACGGTAGCCAATTAAGAACTTCTAATACACGTTATTTACGCTTCCATTGGCAACATTTTGAATAATTTATTTTGGTACTGCTGTCTCAATTTCACAGGAATTTACTTCACCTCTTTCAGAGAGTATAGAGACTACTATTAATATTCATGCATACACATATTACTTTACCACAGACTTCTATACAAGTGCATACTACGATTCATTTTAAACCATCACTAATTACCTGACCCTATTTAGCCATAATGCAAAGTAATTTAGGAATTTTATGAAACTATTCCCATTTTTGGGAGTAATATGTGGTTTTTCGTTCAAGATTAACAATAATATTTTTAGGCTATCATCACAAAAACGTTGATTTTGTGGTCGCTTTTGCGGCCATAAAGTTTCACTTTATTGTACGCTTCTGTCAATCTTTACTTTATTGTACACATCTGTCAAACTGTACCTACTTATTTGAAACTGATGTGTGAGAAACAGTAATCTGTTTGATACAAAGTGTCTATCTGGTCTAGCCCCATCAAGGATTGGGCCATCGACGTGCGTTTTTTTCATTTTCGAACTTGTAGGAATGTTTCACACTATTTTGCATAATCACAATGTTCACATTTAAAATTATAGTTTGACGTTTCAATCTTTGCTGCTTGCAGACCTTTTTGAAGTGTAGAACCAAAACATGAGGGAGATGTTATTGCTTACATTATTATACGAAGAATCACCAGCAATTAACTGAGAACACAAGTAGCTACCTATACCTACCATCAAAGTAGGTAATCTGATTTCTAATAATTGTACAGCATGTTAACTATAAGGTCTTGGAAGCCACAGTTACGAAGGACGTATTGCATTTGACATTATTTCGGGCGCCTTCTTGTGCAACGGAGGAAGTTGCGATTGTACTTTTACTCTCAAACGCCTGCTCTTATATCATATATGACTTAGGGTCGCAACGCTTGCAGCTTCCAAAATTTCATTTGGGGTATCTGAACTGTCGCTATCACCCATTTTGATACGCACAAAACACACGTAAAGATGCTAATTTTAATTACATACGACAGGAAATGCTTTGTTTTTAATTGTCTAAGATAACTATGATTTTCAGAAAAAATATGTTTATGAGCAAATTTTTGAATTCTTTTTTATGATTGCCTAAAAAATGTTGTGTGCACCTTGGCCAAAAGTGATTTGTTAGGCCTCATCTGAATTGCGGCCTCGGCTACCGCCTCGGCCACAAACAGCAGCTTCGGCCAAAAAAGATCACTTTTACGGCCTTGGTACACAAATAACTATTATAGATGCTGTATTTAATTTTTAATAATACTGAAAATATAATAGTATCTAAATTATATACCAAGAGACTAAAGTGTGTGTTTTAATCGCGAGGGTGCAGATTGTTGCCCGAAAAGTAGTTGAGGGCAACAAGCATCCGAGGGAATAGGGCGCACTTTAGTCCTGTGGTATATACGCTATTTTTTGTACTCCGGTAATCAGCTAAGCCAATTTCAATGTTAAAGTGCAAATTTGAACGAAAAAATTTGATTGATTGTAGAATCAATATAGGTGTCAAATTGTGACCGTATAACGATAAATGTCAGTTTGATTTAAAGATTCTAGTTTAATAATACGGCGTAAAAATGATCGTTAAAAACTCTGAAGAACATAAGCTATAAGGAAACCTACTGCCTTCCAAATTCAAAAGGATTTATGGAAAACGGTACCTACCTATAATAAGTGTAAAATATGGTGCAAGAATAAATTAAATATGTACATACAATACAGGTAACCATTAATCATTAAATTGTGTTTGACAATTCAGTGTGTACTGTCACTTTTTGTACCGCGTCGCGTTTTTCTCCCTCCTTGAACTTTAGTCCCTTAAATGAATGACAAAGAACGTTGATTTAGTACACGGAGTACAAAAATAATTTATCAAACGAAAGTGGGTGTATTCGTAAGATGAATCATATTCAGAAGAACATGATTCCCTGTTCTATCGCTTAAACCTACATGCCGATGTGGCCCCACGTTGGGCGCAAAGAATTAATGCAGTGTGAAATGGCACGCGGTCAAAATACCACCCATCAGACACCTACCTAGCTAGATTAAATTACCATTATTATTTTCTCTCTTAAAATTTATGTCAGCGCGTGACTGGGTTCTGATACAAACAAAAATCTAAATCTCAATTGCAATAACTGTCCAAAAACACAAAATAGGCCTCACCCCTGGCCTCACCTGTAGAAATTTTAAATCTAGATCCAGAGAACACAAAAATAACAACCTAAAATCTGTCATACGGCCACACATAAATAACAAACAACATTAAATTTTAATAGATAACTCAAAACCCTTACACATCGATGATAACTATCAAAAACTAAAAATACTAAAACACCTCGAAATAGAAAATACAAAAATAAATATCCCAGATAATCTTCTAAATCAAATCACAACAGTCCCTGAACCAACCACACATATACTATTTCCTACATCCCTTCAAACAACACATACACTCCCACAATTAATAATACTTCACATTACGAGGTCCGGCTATTATATAACGAGACTGCGCGCGCAGAACGCGTACCAGAAGTGTAGAGGGGGAAACGGACACATCGTAGGAAACCTTGAAGTGTCACCTATTCCAGTCCAAAAAGACGTTTTTGTGCGTTGAGTAGTATTTATGCTATTTGGTTTTGAAGCCAGCGTGTTTTTTTCTCGCGTCGTACCGCAAAACTTGAACCCCGAACAAAAACTGGTGCGTCACCAGATCTGTTCAGATGTTCTTGAAAGGTTAGTGGAAGAGCCTGGATTGTTGTAAAGGTCATCACATGCGAGGAAACTTGGATTTTCCAGTATGATGTTGAAGCTCCGAGAATGAAAAACGCAAGGATGTCGAAATCCAAATTCAAAGCAATGCTCATTGTTTTCTTCAACATTAACGGCGTCGTGATGACTCAATGGGTTCCAGAGGGTCAAACTGTGAACCGAGCTTATTATTTGCAAGTCCTGGTAACACTGCGAGAGCGAGTTCGTAGGAGACGGCCGCAGCTATGGAAAGACAAGTCGTGGATTTTGCATCAAGACAACGCACCTGTTCATAACGCGCTGTCTGTAAAACGTTTTTTAACCGATAAAAGCATCGCAGTGGTTGAACATGCGCTGTATTCGCCAGATTGTGCGCCCTGCGACTTCTGCCTATTTCCCAAGATCAAGTCTGCCCTAAAAGGAACGCGTTTTGGGTCAATGGAGAAGGTGAAGCAAAAAACGACGGAGCTACTCAAAGTGCTTACAAAAGAAGACTTTCAGCACTGCTTCCAACAGTGGAAAAAACGAATTATTCGGTGTGTGCAGAGGGAAGGGGAGTATATTGAAGGGGAGCATTCGTTAGATCTGTAATGTTTATAATAAAGACCTTTTTCGTAACCAGTCTCGTTATTTAATAGCCGCACCTCGTATTTTAAATACACACACACACCTTTTACACTCAAGCACACCACTGACACAACAGCAACCATAACCTCACTTTAATTCATCTATTAACATGCTGTGACCGTGATTCTTTAACGCTTTAATTAAATTACAGGTACCTACTCCATTTTTGAAAACACGATCTTCAATCTCGACGTATCTACTTATGTAAATTTCTAATTTTTGACGGCAACAATTTTTGTAAAAACTTGATATATCTTATTTAAATGTAAATTTCCAGCTAGGTACGGCCTGAAGATGACTACAAAGTTGAAGTCGATAGCCTATAGAAACCTATAATAAAAGAATATTTTGAGTCTCAATCTTATTTTCACATCATACACTTCAAAAACAGGAGCACTTCGTCGATAAGACTCTTTACATTTAGTTGATAGCTTTTCTAAGTTAATTAATTACGAAGACCCTAATCAAAATCAGTAAATTCCACTGAAATTACTACCCCAATTTAAATTGAACATAAAAGTTAAACTACAAAAATCTGGAAGAAAAAGTTAAGGTTAACCACGCCTTTTTGAAGGCACACAACCCGTTTACAAAATGGATAAATAAAAAGACGTACAAGTTAAAAGAGCTCAAGAAAAATAAGTACTCATATATTAGTGAAATTAATATCCAAATTATCTAGTCCGGACAGTGGGAATACGATGAACGACATACCAAACACTTGACCCAGAGCTGACAGCTTTTAAAACTCGCTTTTGTGTAGCACATGCGCGATTCTACCCATGTATGTCTAACAATATGTGTACCAAATTTGGTTTAAATCGTTTCAACCGTTTAGCAGGAAATAACAGTATAGACAGACAGACCGAGCGATATTACCACGATTTTTCTTATTCGAATTCCTGGTACTTCAAAACGTATTTCCCTCAAAAAGTGAGGGATCATTTCTTTAACCCAATGCCTAAGGATAATATGATGTGGTTAGAATGGTTTTACCAATGAATCAGAGCAATAAAAAGAGTCTAAGGCGATACATATTCAGCCACCTAGATGTGAGTAGTTTGTCAAATGTGTAATCCCATCTTCTAAAAAAAACAACCAAAAAGCCCCATGTATAAAACGGAAACATGAATGTTTAACCACTTGAAGGTAACCTTTAGTGTCACAATATCTAATTTATCCGCCAGTATGAAAAAAATTGGACTAGTTTACATCTAGGGTGTTACGACGACCATTGACCACTCTGTAAGGGAAGGTGATCTGTAAATTTTATATGCACCCGTCTACACATCACGTAGCAGGGTATTTCGGCTTTGACGTACTAGCTGCTCCACCTTTCTCTTTACGTCAACTTTTCAACTTGCCGAAAGCACGTTCAGATATAGTTTGCGTAATATGTAAATTAATGC